TAGCCAAGAGTTGGAACCAGCCCAAATGTCCATCATCGGATGAGTGGATCCGGAAAATGTGATATATCCACACAATGGAATACTACTCAGCTATAAAAACGAATGAAATACTGCCACTTGCAACGACATGGATGGACGTAGAGAGAATTATATTAAGTGAAACGAGTCAGGCACAGAAAGAGAAATACCACATGTTCTCACTTATTTGTGGGAGATAAAAATAAATAAATAAACACAGAAACAAAGTGTGTGGGGAAGAAGAAGACACAACAATCACAACAATTCCTTGAACTTGTTAAGACAAGTGAACAGATATGATGTAGTGGGGAGAGGAGGGGGGGGAAGAGGAACGGGTAAAGGGACATGAAAATCAACTACAATGTATATTGAGAAGTTAAAATTAAATAAATAAACAACTAAATAAAAAATAAGGTAAAAAAAAAAACCTGTATGGAATGTTACAGTAACAGAATGTAGGACTAGCATCACGAAGAGGCACGTGGGTCCGTGGATGGAATACAGAAATAGACTTACACATGTATGTCAACTGACTTTCATGAAAGGCACTAAGGATTTCAGTGGGCTAAGGAAGGCCTTTTCATCAAATGCTGAAACAATTGGAAAAATGTGTGAAGAAACGAATCTCAACTCCTACCTCACATTGCACGCAAAAATTAGTTTGAGATACATCGTAAAACTAAACATAAAAAGCAAAACTCTGATGCTTCTAGAAGAAAACCTAGGAGATTTTTAAGAGAGGTCACAAAAAAGCACTAACTATCAGAGATAAAAATGTTTAATTGCACTTCAAAATCAAAAAAATTTTTTCCCAACGTAAGATGTTATTTGGATAATGATAAGGCAAACCAAATTTATGAGGAATAAAATATATATAGGCAGGATTTGTATAATATGTAGATAGAAGAGCTGCAACAGATTTTTTAAAAAGTCAAAAACGAAAATAACATGGGCAAATAATTTGAACAAAACTTTTCACCAAGAAAACACATAAATGGCTAATAACCACGAGGAATGCAAATCAAAACCAACATGAGGCGCAGTTTCACAGCCCTGAGAACGCTGAGCGTTTCGGAGCCGATGGCAGCAGAGACCAGCAGGGACAGAGGGCGGCGGGTCCTCGCAGACGCTGCTGGCAAGAGCAGAAAACAGCTCAGCTGTTCTGGGAGCTGTCAGTTTCTCATACAGTCAGACAGGCACCTCCCCTGTCCCAGACATTTAACCAAGAGAAATGAAAACACGTTCACAAAGGACGTGAACCAGAATGCTCGTAGAAGTTTGACTGATCGTAGCCCAAAACTGAGAACAACCCAAATATCTATGAACCAGAGAAGAGTGACACACTGGGGGACATCTTTACACAGACAGACAAATCATCGATGCAGGACTAACACACCGAGTGAAACCAGCCAGCGTATCAGCTCTATGTGCACAAGCTCAGCCAACCCCGTGCACGCCTGTACTCAAGACAGGTACATTTCACTGGATGTAAATGTTACCGCAATAAAAAATTAAAATAAATTTTTTAGAAAATGAAAGTCCACTGGAGAGGCTGGCTAGTGACACTCTCCTGGACTTCCAAGAAAATACATCTGAGTCGTATCAGTGGACTTGTGGGATTTAGATGAAGACTTACTGAGGAAAACTGAAAAGCACAGGACTAGTAACACTAATGCAGGACCCCAGGATACCTGAAGAGATGGAAGGTCTCGTTCGTGTCTGTGGGGTAAGCCAAGCCAGAGGAGGGGCTAGGTAAGCAGAAAAAGAGAATGTCAGGCTGCCCTGAAATCCACATACTGCAAAATTCTGTTTTACAAGTTTAACAAAATACACTGGTCGTTTTTCGGTGGTGGAACTGTAAATCGTCTCAGCTCTAAGCTTCATACTTCTATTTGCAGGAGTGATCACAAACTTATTTTTAAGTGGGAGAATATACACATTAGTGCCCAGGAAATAGGAATATAAAACCCTATTTTATATCGATGAGGAGAAACGCGAATGCCACAGACGATGGATC